GCGTCACTGAGTTTCAGGAAATCCTCGCTATGGCGGAGAAGCTCGACTTCTTTCGCCGACCGAGACCGGGGTCCTACGGAAACAACAACTGGGGACATCGGCCTCGTGGGACGAACGAAAGCGCCACGATACGCGCCGTCGCCGCAAATGCCGCTGCCGCACCGTTCAAAGGGCGCTGCTTTGCGTGCAATCGGCCGGGACATCGCAAGAGCGAATGCCCGGAAAACGCTAAGGGAAAGGGGGAAGCTGAGCAGCAGACACAGACCAAGCAGCAGGGAAACGCTGGAAGTCAGTAGCAGACGGGCCCTCTACTGACAGGTCACGCCGCTCGCCCGACCCAACCGACCCTCACCGAGTGATTGTGCCGGTTCACGCAATCGACCACACCCGGCCGAATAAGGAGGGTACCACGGTAGATAGCCCTATACTGCTCAGTGGGAAAATTGGGACGGACTTAGTTAAAATCTTCGTAGATGGGGGAGCCAGCCACAGCCTCATTAACACTGCTACAGCACGAAAACTGCGACTGCCACTGGACCGATGCTTACCTGAGATCGACGCACGACTGGTAGACGGCACGCCGCTGGCAATACGGGAACGCGTAGACCGAGTTCGGATTCGATGCGGGGGTAACTTAACGTTTAGTCAGGAAATGCTCGCAACGACCCTCGACGGAACCGACATTTTACTCGGGCGTGATTGGCTGCGACGACACAACCCGCGAATTGACTGGACGACGGGTGACTGCACCGTGCGAGTGAACGGTAACAGCATCGCCTTACCTCGCTGGGGCTCGCCTGAGTCTTCGTCGGTGCGTGTCAATGCGATCACGATGAAACGCGCTGTAGCGGCCGGAGTTGACGTGTACGTGGTTGACATTCGGGAAGCCGAGGCAGCAGACAAGGGGGGCGATTTACAGAAACTGCTGACCGACGTACCGAGTGACCTGGCGGCACTGTTAAAACAGTACAGTGAAATTTTCCCGGACGACCTGCCGACGGGACTGCCACCTCAGCGACCGCACGATCACAGGATAGAACTGGAACCGGGGGCACAGCCAACAGTACAGCGACAGTTCCGACTGACCCAACCCGAACTAGACGAACTGAGGAAGCAGCTCGATTACCTGCTCGAGAAGGAATTCATTCGCCCTAGTTCGTCGCCCTTCGCCGCACCCATACTGTTCACACCGAAAAAAGACGGGGGATTTCGCATGTGTATCGACTACAGGGCACTGAACAGGGTTACCATTAAATCCCGTTACCCCATCCCACGAGCCGACGAACTGATCGACCAACTGCGCACAGCCCGGGTTTTCTCGAAAATTGACCTCCGGGGAGGCTACCACCAAATCCGCGTTAATCCACCCGACTGCCCTAAAACCGCATTCCGAACACGCTACGGATCCTTCGAATACACCGTCATGCCATTCGGATTGACCAACGCCCCCGCCACTTTCCAAATGACCATGAACGAAGCATTCCGCCCGCTTTTAGATAAGTGCGTCATCGTTTATCTGGACGACATACTGATTTACAGCCCTGACAGAGCACAGCACTTACAGGACATCGAAGCAGTTTTTAAAATCCTGAGTGAGCACCGACTACTGACCAAAGCATCGAAGTGTGAGTTTTTACAGGACCGCCTGGAGTTTTTGGGACATGTTATTTCAGCTGCAGGAGTGGAAATAGACCCGAAGAAAATTGCGACGATTCAGGCTTGGCACGCGCCGACCAACTTGACCGAGTTGCAGAGTTTCCTGGGGTTCGTCAACTACGTGCGCCGGTTCGTCCCCGACATGGCGAAGCTGACTGCCCCGTTGACCGACCTGCTGAGGAAGGGGGTTGAGTACACGTGGGGGGAGAAAGAGCAAGCTGCCTTCTCGGCCCTCAAAAATATTTTGTGCTCCCCGCCCGTCCTTCACATTGCAGATCCCCACCGTCCGTTCGAGCTCATCACCGACGCAAGTGACATCGCTGTGGGAGCAGTACTGTTGCAGGACTTCGGGAATGGCCTCCAGCCAATCGCGTACGAGTCCCGCAAACTACACCCGCCCGAACGCAACTACCCGATACACGACCGCGAGATGCTAGCGATCGTGCACGCGTTCAAAGTTTGGCGATGTTACCTGACTGGCGCCGACGTGACAGTACGGACAGACCACCGCTCGCTACAGTACCTTCGCGCCCAACCGAATCTCAACCCACGACAGATTCGCTGGTTGGACTATCTCGAGTCCAATTTTCACTACACCGTCACGTACAAAAAAGGAGCATCCAACATCGCCGACGCTCTCACCCGCCCCACCGCCCAACTCCACGCCATCCTACTCGCCCAGACCAACCCGCTTTTAACTGGCCTATTCACCCACGGATACCGCACCGACCCATTTTTCACGACCGGAAATTCACAGCAACTGGCAGAAGCAAAAGGAGTTTATTACGTAAAAACAGGCACCAACCGCATTTGGGTACCCGCGTACTCACTACTGAGGGAGCTGCTGCTGCAGGAGGCACACGACGGGATTACCTCGGGACATTTCGGGGTAGAAAAAACACGACAGCAACTGCAGCGGTACTATTACTGGCCGGAGCTGTTGACCGACGTACAGCAGCACGTGGGCTCGTGCCCGACGTGTCAGGTGATGAAGAGTTCAAGGAAGCGGAAGGCGGGTCAATTGCAGCCGATCCCACCGCCCGAACGCGCCTGGCAGCAAGTAACCATGGACTTCGTCACAGGGTTACCTTCGAACCCTGGGGGTAACGACGCGGTGATGGTCGTCGTGGATAGGTTGACGAAGATGGCACACTTCGCTGCGTGCAAAAAGTCGATCTCAGCCGAAGAGACCGCTCGCCTGTTCATCGCAGCCGTTGTTCGCCTGCACGGGATACCAGCAGCAATTATCAGCGACAGGGACACGAAGTTTACCAGCAACTTCTGGAAGAACCTCTGGGAGCAGTTCGGGACCAGGCTACAGTTCAGTTCGTCGTACCACCCCGAGACCGACGGCCAAACGGAGCGGACGAATCAGACGATGGAGCAGTTGATTCGTGCCACGTGCGACGACCCCACGACCTGGGAGCAGCAGTTGCCGCTGATCGAGTTCGCGTACAACAACGCCACATCAGCCACGACGCAGCAGTCCCCGTTCTACCTGAACTATGGGCAAAACCCCACAGTGCCCATGACGCCGAGTCCGGACAACCCAACGCCACGTGCACAACAATTCGCCGAAATCCTGCAAGTTGCCCGCGCCAGAGCCGCCGAAGCAATAAAAAAGGCCAACGTCATCGCTAAGCGCAACGCTGATCGCCACCGCCGCCCTGTCACGTACCAATCTGGAGATTACGTGCTGCTCGACACGCAAAATCTGCGACTGCCCGACGTACCAAAATTACGACCGCGCTACTGTGGACCATTCCAAATCAGTCACATGATCACACCCGTCACCGCGCACCTACTGTTGCCAATTGACTGGTACATCAGCCCTTCGTTCCACGTCAGCCTACTTCGCCCATACATCCCGACCACGAGTCAACTGCCGCGTCACCGGCCACAATCAATGACTCGCCCTGCATCAGAGCCGATCATCGAGCCCGAAAAAATTTTGAGCCATCGGATCCGCCACCCCACGGGAATCAGGAGGATTGAATTCCTCGTTCGCTGGAAAGACCGCACGCCAACTGAAGATAGCTGGGTGCCCCTGAGCAACATCGAAAATCACCCTGCCCTGCAAGTGTACCTGAGAAGCCGGGGATTCCGCGATATACACGCACTCGCGTAGCGGAGGGGGCTTCTTAAGGGGGGGGGTAGTGTAAGGAATTTTCTCGGCATTCCTTACGGAGCCGACTACATCGCGTACAGCAACAGCCGACTGTTCGCCCGTTACTGCTAACGGAACTTCGCCGACTTCGCGCGCACTGTTTTGCCAAACCTCGCACTGCTGGCATGGCCGTATCGGCCTACGCTTCGGGACTAGCCCGAGCCTCGCTCCAGCGTAGCACTAGCAAGTTCGCACGCACCGCGTTACCGTTTTGCATGTTTCGCGTATAAATGTTCGCTCATGCCTTCGCTCACATTTTGTACTCGTTTGACACCTTAGTGCAATTCTCGCTACCTCGATTCATTGCACCCGTAACAGTTTCATACTTCCAACCACAAACACATAACCAAGATAATTGAAAAGCTCCACGAACTGTTTGCATGGCACGTGGAGCACCATGCGATGCTGTTAGGCGCCCAGGAAAGCGAACGCAGTCTGATTTTTCCGTAAATGCCGTCAGAGGCAGCGTGTGTGAGTTGTCGTCCGACGACTCTGCGCCAGCAGATTCGACGCCTGAACCAACCTTGGCCATGCGGGAACGGTCGGAGGGCAGCGCACAGCGCAGCTTGTCGGGAGAATGGGAACTGAAACAGTCTTCTCGACCAGCAGCGACGATCCGAAATAAGGGGACGCGTAGAGCAGATGGCGGAAACGGGATTGCGGGAGGTGACGAGGCGAGCGAACGCGCGAAAGAGGCGCAAGCGCCGAGAAAGCGAAGGAAGGCGGCGGAAAGCGCGCAAGTGGAGCGCGGTCGCCTGCTGAGTCTGGCCTTGGAGTGCGGCTTCCGACACGACGACGCCGTTAGGTGTCTGCGGCGCATCACTGACGCCTATGGTGCGCGTCCCCGCCATTCGCTCCCCGTGACGCCATGGTTAGGAGTTTTTGGCATGAGGAAACCTTTTAGTTAGTATAGCCGTCTGTGACAGTGCGAACACACCACGTCGAAAACTGCGGTCTAGCAAACCTAATCGCACCTAATGCTTGAAGGACCGCGAGACGTGGCTGGCGTTTCTCGAGGAATCTAGCCCCCCTCATCGCTTCATCCTTCGTTAGTGGCCATCTCAAAAGCTCTCCTTTTCCTCGAACCCTCTCCCCCCTACCCCCCATTCCCCCGCTAACTTCTCCCCGCACCCTGATCCTCCACCGTCCGGCCCCGGCCATCGTTCCCCCGGTCTCTATGCGCGTAGGTGACGAAGGCGAGAGCTTTGTGACAGTTGAGTCGTGCGGGGACGAGTTCCTCGCCATGCTCGCTGACCTCGCGGACGAGGCGGACGACTCCGCGGACGCGCAGGCGGAGGTGGAGCGGGAGGGGGAGGGGGAGGGGGAAGAGGGGCAGTGCCGCGATCTGGACGATTTGGGCCACGTGGCAATCGAGCTGGATGATGATGATGATGATCTCGAGGGTGATCCAGTGGACGCATGGCTCTGGACAAGGCTGGGCGGTACGGGAGATGTAGGTGGCTTGAGTGGGAGAGAGGGCGGTGCAGTGCGGCGAAGAGCAGTGCAGGGCGAGGATGTGAGGTGCAAGCGAGTGGGGGTGGAAGGCGGGTCTGCTATTACTGATGGTGCGGGGAGGTTGCGAGAAGGGACCGAGGCCAGGGGGCAAGGAAATGGGGTAGCGACAGAGAGGGACAGAGGAGGAGAGGAGGGGGGTTCAGAAATGGGGAGGAGCGAGTGGGAGAGACAGCCATGGGCGTGGGAAGAGTTGGGGGAGGCCATGGATCTAGGTCTGGAGGATGATGGGCAGACCGATGGGTGGTCCTGGCATCCGCAGCAGCAGCCGCTGGGAGAAAACATCACAAGAGTCGGTGGAGGCAACGGCGCCCACACTCCCCATCCACACGTCCCCAACGCTACCCCTTCCTCCTCCGCTTCCCCATATCCCTCTCCGCCCCCATCATCCCTAGCACCACCCCTACCACCATCCAAAGCGCCCCCACTATCATCCCAAGCGCGGGCATCATCATCATCAGCGGCAGCAGCAGCATCATCGTCTGTGTTGCTGTACCACGAGGCACTGCAGCTGGACCAGGTGGCTCTCGCGAGCGCTGCCGTGTTTGGCCACCGGCGCCTGAGGGACGGGCAGCGGCACGCGTGCGAGGCTGCTCTGGCGGGCCGAGACGTCTTTGTGCTCATGCCCACTGGCGGGGGGAAGAGCCTCTGCTACCAGGTGCCACCTGCAGAGTCGTTTTCCATTTTGGGCTTTCGTTTGATTGTTTTTTTTTTTGTTTTTTTTTTTCCGAATTTACCACGCAGCACTTCTTTCCTCTCTCCCAATCTCCTCATTCCGTACCACTCTGCACTCCTCTCTTCTCCCATCCTCACCCTTCTCCCACCGTTCCATCCCGCTCCCGCCATCCTCTTTCCTCTCCGACATTGCAGCTCCCAGCGGTGCTCTCCCGCGGTGTGACCGTCGTGGTCTCCCCCCTCCTCGCGCTCATCCAGGATCAGGTCATGGCACTCGTGCACCACCACGGTGTGCCCGCCGCCTTCCTGTCCTCCGCCCAAACAGCAGTGCAGGCAGCCGCGGTGGCTCGGGAGCTGCGCAAGGCGGTGCCGTCGTGCAAGCTGCTGTACGTCACGCCTGAGAAGCTCATGGGCAGCGCCGCCCTGCAGAGCATCCTGCGCGGCCTGCACTCCCGGGTATGGGCATGGGTGAGAAGGCGAGGGGAATGGAAGAGGGGAATGGAATAGGGGAATGGAAAGGGGGAAGGGGAGAGGGAAAAGGGAGAGGGCTGGCGGGCTTGGGAGAAAACAATATCTCTTTACCTATTAATTTCAATGAAGTATTTTTTTCTGCGTGTATCCCTGTGACACACCCTCCCCCCACGCCCCTTCCCCAGTGCTCTTTCTTGCACGCCCTTTCCCCCACGCTGCTTGCCTATCAACTCACGGCCGTCTCCTTGCGCACTTCGCCCCTGTGCGTGTATGGCATGATGGCAGGGCATGTCGTTGATGCGCCTCACAACCACACCCTCCCTCTGCCCATGTGCGTGCATGGCAGGGTATGCTGGCTCGCTTCGTGGTGGATGAGGCCCACTGCGTCAGGTGAGGGGGGAGGAGGTAGCACTCACACCGTGGTAGCGCTGCCACTCACTCACAATGGGCTGTGGTGGGAGGAAGAGGTGGAATGATGGCCGATGGGGAGATGGGGATTGGGGAAATGGGGAGTGTGGAGGCACTGGGCAGAGTGCAGTTATACCGTTTGGGAGCAAAGTTTTATTTTATTTTACCGTTTCCTAGTTCCCTCCACCTCCAATGCAACCACTTCCTCTCCCACGCCTCATGACCCTGTACACTCAGTACGTCCCCTTCACCATTCCCTCGTCCCCGTCCCCGCGTCCCCGCGCACTTTCATGTCATCCCATGTCCGCCTGCCACTCATTCCCCTCCTCTCCCCAACCGCCCTTCTTCCTCCAACCACTTTCCCCCTCCCCTCCCTTCCCATATCCCCACCTCCACCCTTTCATGCTCCACCTCCCCTTCCGCCACCCACTTCTCTCCCATTTCCCCCCATCCTCTCCCCCAGCCAGTGGGGGCATGACTTTCGCCCGGAGTACCGCCAGCTGGCATCGCTGCGCACTCTCTTCCCCGGCACGCCCTTCCTCGCCCTCACCGCCACCGCCACCCCCGCCGTGCAGAAGGTGGACACGGAGGGACCAACTGTTCTCATCTCATATCTCATGCTGATTAGGTCACACCACTGCTCACACAACTTCGCTGTTCTTGAGGTGGTTTGTGAGCTGTGATTTGCAACTGTTTCGCGTTTGAGCCGTGAGCCGTGAGGTTTGAGCTCTGAGTTCAGGGTCTCTCACTGCCTCTACCCACCACCACTCCCCACATGTAGCAGGTGAGGGAGTGGGGGTGTGATGGAGGGCGGAAGGAGGGTAGGGGTGTGAATGGAGGCTGTGTAACGATGGGAGATAAAGTTAGGGAGTGGGTCTCCTTCCCGCTCTCCCCTCTCCCCCTCCTTACTCCCATGTCCTCCCCCCATCCCCCCTCAGGACATCACATCAGTGCTGCGCTTCCCCCCATCATCAGCGCACATAGCCCTCTCGTTTGACCGGCCTAACATCAGCTACACTGTGCTGCCCAAGCACCCCGCGCACCCCCTCGCACACCTCGCCGCTCTCGTCTCCGCGTGCTTCCCCCCGTCCGCAACTGGTATCATCTACTGCCTGTCCAAGCGCGAGGCTGAGAGCGTCGCGGAGTATCTGCGCTGCCCCCCGCACCTGCGCCCCGACGCTGGTACTCCTGATGCTGACGCTGCTTCTGCTGCTGGTGCTGCCGCTGCTAGTGCCAGTGGTTGTGGTGGTGGTGGTGCTGCTGCTGCTGCTGGTGCTAGTTCTGTGGGAAGGGGGGAGGGAGAGGGAGGGGAAGAAGGCTGGAAGGTGGATTTGGAGGGAGCGGGGAAGGGAGAGGAGGAGGGAGGGGGAATATCAGCGGAGTGTTACCACGCGGGCATGGGCATGCGGGAGCGGGTGGCTGTGCAGGGGAGATGGAAGGACGGGCGCACGAGGATCATCTGTGCTACCATAGCATTCGGCATGGGCATTGACAAGCCTGATGTCGTACGTACGCCCATGCCTTCCCTCGGCTGTTCTCTCCCCCACTCACCCATATACACATGCAAAGAAACGCACCGTTCTCTGGCTCCTCTCTCTGCGCCCGTGCCCCTGCCTCTTCCAAGTTCCAACCAACCCTGCAACACTTCCAAATACCTCGGCCCTCCACCCATCCACACACCCGCCCACCCACCCACCCACCCATCCTCCCTCTCACTGTTCCATGCAGCGGTTTGTGATCCACAACAGCATGTCCAAGTCTCTCGAGAACTTCTACCAGGAGTCAGGCAGGGCGGGCAGAGACGGGCTGCCCGCCAGCAGCATCGTGCTCTTTGCCCGCCGTGACTTCTCCCGCGTCGCCTGCCTCCTGCGCCGCTCCGCCTCCTCCGCTGCACGCGCTGCTGGCAGGGGTGGGGGCGGTGGTGGGGCGGCTGGCAGGGCAGCGGCAGTGAGGAGGATGCAGGAGGAGATAAAGCGCGCGCGGGAAATGGCGGCGTTCTGTGAAGATAAGGTGCGGTGCAGAGGGTTGTGCTTGGGCTGGGAGAATGTGTGATGGTTCATTCCAACAGGCTGTGCTTGTGCTCCGAAGTCCTGGGGAAGCTGGTGTGTTCTGGGAGGGGTGCTGAACTGCCCACACCAAGCACTCTGCTCCTCCACACCCTCTGCTCCCCCACACCCTCTACACCTCTCCATATCTTATGCGAGCGTAAATAATCACTCAATCAACCCATCTCTCCCCCTGCTCCCTCTCTTTCCCCTCCCCCACCCCCTCATCTCCCAATCCTTACATCCCGGCCCCCCTCCCTCCCTCCGCGCCTTCCCCGCTGCATCTCCAGTCCAAGTGCCGACGGCAGCAGCTGCTAAGCTACTTTGGAGAGCAGCAGGCGTGTGGCACGTGCTCCCCTGAGTCCAACCCCTGCGACCACTGCCGCAACGGGCACGCTCCGTCTGCCACTGCCGCCACCCCTACCACTCGCACACGTGCATCCACAACCACCACCACGACTGCCACTTCCGCACCACCTGCCGCTGCCACTGCCAGTGCCAGTGCCAAGGGGGGTGTTCGTAGGGGCAGTGGCAGCAGGACAGCGGGTGGAGGCAGGAAAGGCAAGCAGCATAGCCGAGCGGGGAAGCGGCAACAGCCGAGGAAGTAGCAGATGGGAAGAACGATGCTGCTAATCATGTGTCTGGTTTAAACAGTTGAGATGGCAACATGGAAACAGTTTAGCATCTACACTTGTGTACACAAAGGCTGTACTGCTTATGGGTATGTGATACTAACGTTGATTGAAACAAGATCTTACATGTAAGGTTATACATATTTATGTTATTGGAGGCAGACAGAGATGAAAGGCCTCTGCACCACAACCAACAGCAAGCAGGCGCCGAAACAGCAGTATTGGCCTAGTCCTTGCATCAGAGCGGACTATTTACTAATACGAGAGCTTGCATTGCATCCCTCCTACCTCCACGCCAATGTTCTAGTGCAGTACCAGTAGCGGCAGATCACCAGTAAGGAGCAGCCAGCAAGTATGCCAAGTCCTCGCTGCGGGCCAGCACCAAGCGCCCCACCCACCATCCTACGAGACCCCCAGCAGGTCATTCTCATCTCATCTCACCATAGAAGCACCGTACGGACCATCCATCCTGAAAGCAGTGCAGACCTCACATGTCGTCCACATCACCCGTGGCAAACACACCGCCCTTCTCCCCACCTCCAATCCCTAGCGCAAGCCCCGCCCCAGCACCCCCATGATAACTCCCTCCGACCACAGGCCTGGCGCCCGGAGAGGAGTCGAGCATGAGCGTGGCCGTGGAGGGAGAGCGCCGTGCCAGGCACGCACGCATGCTGCCGATCTCCGCGGCAGCTGCCTGCACGCGCTGCTTGTCCTGCGCGCTCATCTGCGCCAGCCGCGCCGGGTTCGCCTGCAGCCGAGCCATGTCCGCCTCCAGCTGCCGCATCTCCTCCTCCAAGCCTCGCAGGTCAGCCTCGGAAATGACACTCCCAGGTCCGGCGGGGCCCGCTCCTCCAGCCCCGGTAACGGACTCTGAGGGGGAGTTTCCAGACAGGTGGCGCTGGTGGCGGTGGCTGGGGGTGTGCACGTGATGACACGGCATGCCGCCAAAGGTCAACTGCGGCTGCCTCTGCTGCTGCGGCATGTGCAGCTGAGTGCAGCTGCTGGCTTTAACCATGGACCGCTCCTTGCTCTGCGACGGCTGTAGCGCACTAGCGGAGACGGCAGCGGCAGCAGCTGACCCGTCCATCATCATCATCATCGCCATCTGCTGCTGCAGCTGCTGCTGTAGCATCCTCTGCTGCGGCGTCAGCTCCGCTACAGCCGGGCTGCTGCAGCCGGCATCAGTACCACCACCCGAGACGCGGGCGAAAACAGCTGAGGAGACAGGCGTGGAACGCTGCGACGAGGACGAAATTGATCCGTTCGCGATGGCGATAGCAGCGACGGATGGGTTGTAACGGTCGGACGTAACGGGCGATTGCTCAATGGGCGTCAGCACGGGACCCATGGGCGACACCCATCGATCTGTCCCGCTGCCCCCTTGCGCCCCCAGCCCTCCGCCAGCTCCGCTACCTCCCGCGGAGTACCCGCCGGCGCCGCCGCCGCACACTGCGCCAAAGTGGCCGTTGCCCGTGCTGCTTCCGAACGACGCCCCACCGAATTGCAGGTGCATCAGCTGCTGCTGGTGCTGCGGGGACAGCATTGGCGCGCCGCCGTAATTTCCGGAGCGCGACCGAGGGAACTCGACCGAGCCTGTGGTCTTATGGCGGACAAACGAGGCGCTATGCGGGGAGACCTCATCGTACGATTCGCTTCCGCTCGTGGTTCCAGTCGCTGCGCCAACCATCTGCCACGGGCTCACGTTGCTGCCGCTGTCGCTGCCGCTGCTGTTGTCGCTGCCCGTGCTGCTGCTCGCGCTGCCCGTTCCCGGGCGGAGGAACGACGCGCAAACGGCGCCGGAAGACGCGGAGCAAGGATCGGAGTCGGCGCACGAGCCGCCGGGGACTTGCCGCTGGCCGGAAAGCTGATTCTGCTGCGACGCGTATCCGTATTTCCCCCGGCTCGAGGATTGGCTGGAAGGCGCAACGGCGATCTGGCGCGCGTAAGACGTGCCCCCCGCGGGAGAACTGGATGCGCGAAACCAGCCGCTGGAAGCGCCGGCGCACGCGACAGGAGCAACGTGGCCGCTCCCAACGCTGCTGGTGCTGCGGCTCCTCACAACCGTGCTCGCACTAGCGCCCGCAGTGTCGACTGCGGCGGCGGCGCCACGGCGGGGGCTTCCTGCGTGATGCGACTCCGGTGCGTTAGGAAGCGCCGTGGCCGTGCCATACGCGCCTTGCAAACCCTGATCGGGTGGGGCATCGTTGCAGCTCAGCACGCGCTTGATATGACGTGGCATGCCGTTGGCCGACCCGTGGCGGTGGCCTTTCGGTCGAGCCGGGATGGCGCCTAGCGGCGCGGAGAAGATGGGCCCGGGGTAGTTAACGTACATTTCAGCAGCAGCGTTGGATGCGGCGGAGGTCGCGGGGTCCGGAGAGAACATGCCCGACGGGTGCTGCGGCGGCAAAGGCGGCGTCTCGCCACGCTGGATCGCAAAGAGATCTAATCTCAGTCCGCTCGCGCCCTGCTGCTCACCATCAGGCCCAGCGCCAGATGCGGAGAGCGCGGCGGGATCTTCCTCCTCGGGGACGTCAAAGAGCGCCTCGAGTGGAGCCGAGAGAAGGTACGCGGCGAGCCCCGTGGGCGTTGTCGCATGCCCGTCTGGGCCGCCGGCGGGAGCGGCGGAAGATGCGCCGCCGTCTACAGAGAAGGTCTCGGAGTGTACCTGGACGGCGAGTGCGGCGTGATGAAACGGGCCGCTGCAATTGCTGCCGATGGAGCTCTGCGATAACAGTCGCTGTAATGGCTGACCGCTCATCTGTTGCGATTCAGCGGACACCTGGAACAGCTGACTTTGCAGGCTGGCGAGCCGCGGCAACTTGCCGGACATTATGGGCGCGGCTCGGTCGGCGTCAACAGCCTGCCAAGACTGGAGATCGTCCGAGCCGAACGGTGAGGGATGGTGCGGATAGGAGGACTGGCGCAGCGTAGCGTCTCCGCAGGCCTCCAAGGGAATGCCGATGCCGTCATCGCCAGGAACGTCAAAGAGCTCCTCCGTTGACGACGATAGCAGCCGCGCCGCGAGGCTTCCTGGCGCGGCGGCCTCCCACACCGCGTGGCAGAACGGTAGCGGCGATTCGACTGAGCCGGATCCGTTCGACGATCCGGCGGCGGCGGCGTTGGTGTTTGGCGAGGACATGTAGCTGGGCAGCGGCCCGCTCGAGTTTAGGAACATGCTGGCCGCAGCGGCGGCGGCGACGGCAGCGGCTGAGTGGGACGGCGATGGCTGGCCTCCGTGCATTCTCGTATACTGCTCCAATCCGTGGATCGGAAGAGCAGTAATGCTCATGACGGCGCGGGAAGGAGATAAAATGTACGGCTTAGGGGCTTATGCTCTGGCGAATGTTAGTCACAATGGTGTGCGGGCGGAGTTAACACTGATATCAATTTTGTGTCTGACTTAGCAGAAATGGTCTGTAGGGCGGAATGCGGAAGTGCGGACCGGAAGGTGACATGAGAGCGAGCGCGGGTGGTGTGCTGTGGATGAGGTGGGCGTGTAGTATGCTGTGCTGGCGCGTGCTTTTCTAGGAGATGGGAGGGAGGCAGGCAGGTACGGAGGCGATTTTGGGTCGGAACAACGCAGCGCGAAAGGGGAAGGATTTAAGTGGGTGGGGGATAAGGGGAGCAGAAAGTGCGGAAGTCTTCCGCCGTGGGCTGCAAGAAGGAAAGCCAGAAGGGAAAGATGAGTGGTTTTTGTGTGAGGTGGTCTGCGTGCACAATGAAATCAACAACCCAACAGGGCGCACAGCAAGTTGAGGATGATTCAAGCACTGCCCCATGAATCTGATGTGAGGAGAGGAGATCCGACGAGGCGCGATCGGCCCCTAGGGCTTCCCCGATAATGGCACACACAACCACACCAGCAAAAGCTTCTCCCCTTACCGGCCTTTCGACACTTCGCTGTCTGGTTAGGAAATTTGGGGAGGCAAGGGATAGAGGGGGAAAGGGGGAGGTTGGGGGGGAAGGTGTTGAGGTAGAGGGGTAGTGTGGAGGGGAGGGATGAGATTGAGGTCGCATGCATGTACATGATTGGCTGTGCGATGCTCAGTTTTAGTTTCTAGCTAAGCAAGGCGATTGTTTGGGCAAAATACGGCGTCGCATAATCGCACTGCGATGATTCCAGAAAAACTGGTGAGCTGAAAGTGTCGCATAAACTGGAGTTTCGAACCGCCACGAAGGAACGCGGCGAACACCAGCAAATAAACGAGAGGCTCCCATGTGATGCGGCAGCATGTGTGGTGCAATTTGCTTTTACTGTACTTTAACACATGGCAGCATTTCACGCAACATGGAGCAACTATGGAGCACACCTGCGGAAGCTATTTCGAATCGCTATTTGACATGTGGATGCCAGTTCTGATATGGCAAACTCCTAATGGCGAAATTGATACATGTGAAGAAATTCATCCAATCGAATGGCTGACTCATGCTGCGTGAGTTATCTAGGCCAGAGCCAATTATTTGAGGGGAACAGTTTGCGGCGAGCTTTTCCCACACCTTGGGCAAAGCGACGCCAACCATTTGTGTATCACACTCGGCTTACTTCTATGAGGTGCATCTCCTCCAATTATAACACGCCGCTCGATTCTCAATGGCCACATGTCTATATTCCGATCCACAAATTCCAAAACAAGGTGGTGGTCACACTTAGTAACGTGTGAAAGCGAACACGAGCTTCCCGACTTTCCGCCAAGAACGACAACTCGATGCGGTGGTTTGTCCGGAGGACAACTGGATACAGCCCGCGAAAGAAATGCGGGGAGACCCATGGGAATCTCAGGTCAGGCACAGCAATTAGTGCAGGGTATTTGCCTTTCATGACCTGAGCTTTCAGGACCTCCCGCTCTAAAAAATACACCCTGTTTCTCGCACCAGTCTGAAGTGGCCCAGTCAAGTTAGATGGGACTTCCGAAGAAGGGGGATACGGGATTAAACCCCAGTGCCGGCGAGTTCCGCCAGCCCCCAGAAGGAGGTTTCGAACTACACACCTAGTCCGCGAAAAAATTACCAAGCCAAAATGGGTAGCAGGATTCTGGATTATCTGGCCGTGGTGAAGATAGCCGTGCAAAATTTTGGTCATTATTTTCACCACCAAATATCTGAACAGCATGGAAAGTTTTGACAGTACCCCTCCAAAGGAACACCTTGGACCTTTTCTCAATCTGGAATGTTCGAGTGCCGGGTAAGCAAAAGCATCGACGGTGGCGATTCTCTCGTGAATTGTCTGATGGAAAAGTTGCTTGCCCAATGCACGATGCCAGCTGAAATATCGAAATAAGTTCAGCAAATTTTCCAACTTGGTTCGGTTTAGTGTGAACAGCGATTTCTGGCCACCTAACGGAAAACGCCCAGCATGCCGACAAACGTTGTCAAGATACCGGCGGTTAATTACCGCGGACCAGGTGTACTTATCTGGAAATGAATATGCCCACCTCGTACCCAGCGAGGTGTGTAAGCAAGTGGGTAGGCGCATTGCGATCGACAGCCGGGGGTTACCCAAAGGGGGATTTCCCCCCTCCTTAACCTTTACATGTTTCTCGCCACACTATCATTGGCCATATTGACGGACCGGCTGTACTCACATCAATGCGTCCGAAAATGGTCCCAGAACATACCATATAAGCACATCTGCCGCACTCAACCATAAGCAAAAAAAAAAAAAAAAATCTATTAAAGGTTATGTACCGTTCCACTGGAGTGCATTTGCCCGCCACCTACCACGGGTTCGGTTGCAAGCACCAGACCGATAGGGTCCAAGCAACAGTATGCACTGTACCCATTGCTTCTCATTGTCAGTCTAGCGAGAAAGAGTGTGTATAAATCTCCAGGATTAAACGTGGTCTCAAAAGGCTGCTTTGGGCCAATTTTTTAACAATTTGTTCAATAAAGGCCAATCATGTGTCAGATATATATGACATAGTGTTTGTAGGCTCTAGTGGGGTAGACACTAAGGGATACGGTTTTCTAGGGTTTCATATTTGTATCACACATTTTCCTAGTTCAATTTATTCCTCATTATTTCACATGGTACGGTATAGAGCAGGTTCCCTAGAGGGAACGTTTCCGTCGCGTCCCCTGCTCTTAGCGGCCCGTCGCGCCCTCTTAAGGCCCCTTCGCGGCCCCTCTCACAGCCCTTCGCGGCCCCTTCGCGGCTCCTTCGTCGCCCTTTGCGGCCCTTTGCGGCCCTTCACTTCCCCTCCGCGGCTCCTTCGCGGCTCGTCGCGGCCCCTTCGCTGCCCTAACCGGCTCTTCACGGCCCTGCCACCCCGCCTTCGCCGCCCCAGCAGCACCAGCCGTCGCGCCTGCTGCTGCTGCTGCTTCTTCTACGACCGGTCGCCGCCGCCGCTGCCGACTTGGAGGTCTGGGCGGTCGACTTTGAGGTCTGGGTCGATGTTCTGCAGCTTTTCCTGCAGTGCGATAGAAAAGATGGTCTCTCACTGTTCGATCTCACGTCTGGCGCCTCTGCTGCCCCTGCTACCGATGCTGACAGTAATGTTCGCTCAAAGTGGGCCACACGCGATGCTACTGCCCGTCTTGCTGTGCGTAGTCACTTGCCGTCTACTGAGCGCGTGCACTTTAGTCAGTACAAGAGTGCTAAGACCTTGTACGACGCTGTAGTTGCACGGTACTCTTCCCCTGCCACTGCTGCCCTTAGTCGCCTCATGCTGCCGTACCTGTTCCCTGACCTCGCCGCCTTTCCCACAGTCGCTGACCTCATTACGCACCTTCACACTAGTGACACCAGCTACCGCGCTGCGCTTCCTGCTGAGTTCTGCGCCAAGAACCCCCCCCCCCCATGTACATCACCCTCTACTACATAGTCACCCAGCTCCCTGACTCCCTTCGCTCGGTCAGGGACCACTTCCTCTCAGTTTGCCCCACCACACTCACCGTTGACCTCCTCGAGGAACGCCTCCTGACAGCTGAGAAGAGTATAGTCGCTGCAGGAGCCTCTCCTGGTGACCCTCGTACCCCCTTCTTTGAGGGGTGCTCCCCCTCCCCCCTCTTGCCCTCTGTTGCCTCTGCTGCTGCGTTCGACCTCGTTGGCACCGAGTCGGTCGGCGCTGCGTCTGCCCCTAGCGAGAGACGCCGCAACGGCAAGGGCAAGGGGGGCAAGGGCGCTGGAGGAGCTGGCGGGGGCAGTGGAGGTGGCGGTGGAGGTGGCGGTGGAGGCGGCGGAGAAGGTGGGGGTGGCGGTGGGAGTGGTGGCGGGGGTGGGGGCTTTGGTGGCGGCGGTAGAGGCGGAGGCGGCGGCGGCAGTAGCGGTGAGAGCGGAGGAGGAGGCGGTGGCGGCGGTGGAGTTGGTCGCGGTGGCTCTGTGCAGCGGGGCGGCTTTGGTGGTGGTCAGCGCCAGCAGCAGCAGCGCACTCGTGAGACCCCGCCCCCCCTGCAGCTTCGTGAGTGGTACGCTGCGCGTTAGCGGGGTGGGGGTGCTGGTCCCTATGCCTACGTCCTGCGTACCGGCGACCGCACTGTTGAGTCGTGCGGTGGCCCGCACGCCACCCAGCGCTACTTCGGCCGCCTGACGGACGCCTCGCGTCTCCAGTTCCCTGACGCCACTGAGATCGCTCGGTGAGGCGAGCTGCTTAGGTCGGGGGTTGCTATCTTTGATCTTGATTATGATGCTATTCTTGCTGCCATGTATGTTGTGTCTACTAGTGATGAGGGTGACTGTTACCTGTGTGTTCCGCCTGACCCGGGCATTGAGGCTGCTGCTCTAGGTGCTAGTGAGGCTGTTGCTCTAGGTGCTAGTGCGTTTGCTTCTCCAGGTGCTGGTGAATCTGTTGCCCCAGGTGCTGGTGAGACTGCTCTCTCAGGTACCACGTCGGCTCAGGCCTTACACACCTTCACCCTTGACTCGGGTGCTTCCCGCTCCTTTTTTCGAGACCGCACCACACTCACGCCGCTTAGTCGGCTGGTTGCAGTCTCCCTGGCAGACCCCTCTAGGGTTCCTGTCCTTGCCCACTTCTCCACTGCCTTACCATGTCCGGCGGCCCCTTCTGGCTCCCTGTCAGGTCTTTACCTCCCCTCGTTCCCTACGAACTTGGTTAGTGGTGCTGATCTACAGGATGGGGGGGTTGACTAGTTCACTCATGCGAGTCAGCGAGTGACCCACTACATGTGTGCTCGGACGGGCCGACATTTGGCCACGTTAACCCGTCAGCCGGGGTCGAG